AAGTCTGTAAGTTAAATCTGAGAGTTGTTTTTCATTTTAATTTATGAGTAGGTTATTTAGTGTGGGATTCAGCTGATGTCTTGCTAAATATCTGAGCCTTAACTTGGATAAGACATTTTTATTCTTCAAACTCTTTATTTTGTTGTATTTGAATTGTGTGGGTTTTGTGGTTTGGGTTTGGGTTGGTTTGTTTTTCAAGTTGGGCTTTCAGGTACTGTTTTTTCCATTAGCATATAAACTCCTTGAGATGTCAGTACAGGAAATTTTACCTGAAATGACTTCAAAAGGCTGAGAGCCATTGCCTTAGTTTTGTGGGTTGGGTTAATCTTTCCTTCACTGCTTCACAGGGAGGGGAGCCATATGATGAGGGGGAATGGTTTTAAACTGAAAGAGGGGAGATTTAGATGAGATCTCAGAAAATCTTTGCTGTGAGGGTGGTGAGAGCCTGGAAGAGGTTGCCCAGAGAAGCTGTGGCTGCCCCATCCCTGGAGGGGTTCAAGGCCAGGCTGGATGGGGCTTGGAGCAACCTGGTCTGGTGGGAGGTGTCCCTGCCCAGGGCAGGGGGTTGGAACTGGATGATCTCTAAGGTCCCTTCCAACCCAAACCATTCTATGATGTATAAAACCAGTGTATTTATGAACAGATTTATATCTTGACTTTCTCCAAAAATATATTGGTCTTTCTCAGCCTTTGTGCTTTTCTAAAGGAAGAAACATAACTTTCTGTGTTACTTTGATATCGGATGCAGCTACGCTGGGCAGGTTGTTGGGGCCCTTCTATTATGATTTATGGTGCTGTGTTTATACTGAAGTCACGTGCTGGTTGTACAGCCATAATGCTATTTACTGTCACACGTTCTTTCCAGGCATGCAACCTTAAACCCACATCACATACATCTTTGGAATTGTAGCCAGGAATTTTCGTGTCCTTTAAGTTTAGCTAAAACTTCTTATAATGTCTTTGTTATGCTAATTAAGCTTCTGCAGCACTTGAGGCATGTTTACAAAGTTATTTTTAATTGTGAAGAGAATGAGAACTGTTTCTTGTATCCTCTTCCGACAGATACAGCACATGTCACTTGGATTCTGTGTTTCTGTTGCTTATGCAGCCAGCCTTGGGTGAATGTAATGGATGGATAGGCAGCAATCTAGGATGACAGGGATTCAAGAAGACAGTGAAAATGAAAGGTTTGGGTTTCTGACAGGCATCGTCTGAATTTTGCTGAAGTAATGTAAGATGTTGCCACCTCTGAAAGAGATGGCAACCAACTCTTACCAACAGTTACTCTGCTCTGACTAGAGACTACCATTTCCCTACCAGGGTGGCAGAACACTACTCATGGAATTGTAGAACAACCCAGGCTGGAAGGGACCTCCAGAGATCATCTGATCCAGCCTTTTCTGGGAAAGGGAACTTAAGATGAGATTATCCAGCACCATATCCAGTAGCATCTTGAAAACCTCCAGCAATGAGGGGACCCTGCCATGTCCCTGGGGAGGTTCTTCCAGTGATGGGTTGTTCTCCATCCATATATGACTTTATAGTGTAGGTTTGGGTTTCTGACAGGCATCGTCTGAATTTTGCTGAAGTAATGTAAGATGTTGCCACCTCTGAAAGAGATGGCAACCAACTCTTACCAACAGTTACTCTGCTCTGACTAGAGACTACCATTTCCCTACCAGGGTGGCAGAACACTACTCATGGAATTGTAGAACAACCCAGGCTGGAAGGGACCTCCAGAGATCATCTGATCCAGCCTTTTCTGGGAAAGGGAACTTAAGATGAGATTATCCAGCACCATATCCAGTAGCATCTTGAAAACCTCCAGCAATGAGGGGACCCTGCCATGTCTCTGGGGAGGTTCTTCCAATGATGGGTTGTTCTCAATCCATGTATGACTTTATAGTAGGTACTTGCACCTTTAGTGGTGAATAAAGTGCTATACTCAAGTGGGAATAGAGGTGGCAGAAGGATGAGGAAGAGGTCCCTCCTGCTGCTCTGGTGGGTTGGACAGTTGTGAGCAGCAGTGTCTGAAACTGCTGACCTGCAGGGCCAGTGCCCTCAGAACCTTCTTCTCCTGAGGTTGCAATTTTTTCTCATTTCGGGCAACAAAACCACAGTTTAAAAAAAACTTCCATTCTTCTACTATGTGTTAATTTTACATGTAGTTTTGTTGTATTTATATTTTTGTATAAAGAAAGAGTCAGTGTTGAACATCATCTTGGTTTTCCAATAGCAAGGGTTTAACATACTGCTAGATATTTTTTTTTCCTTAAAGATCCTGGAATCATCATAGAATCATAGAATAGTTTGAGTTGGAAGGGACCTTTAAAGGTCATCTAGTCCAACCTCTGAGCCATGAGCAGGGCTATCTTCAACTAGATCAGGTTGCTCAGAGCCCCGTCCAACCTGACCTTGAATGTTTCCAGGAATGGGGCATCTGCCACCTTTCTGGGAAACCTGTGCCAGTGTTCCCCCACCCTCATTGTAAAAAACTTCTTCCTTAGATCTAGTCTGCCATTAAGGTTTCTACTCTTTTTTAATCGCTGTTGTGTAAATTACTTAAATAAAAGAATAACAGATTAACGCGAGACTTGTGTTTGCTCATTTTACCACTACGCTAAAAATTGCAGAAAGCTGTGTGTGGAATTTTGTGTATCTTTGTTTTAACCAAGTTATTGAAAGTGCAGGACTGTTTTACTGCAGAATAAAGCTGGTTTATACCTTTATTGGGGATTGTTTTGCAGTCTGATATTTTGATCTGACATCTGTTCTTGCCCGTGTAGTGTCTTGAGTTTCACGCTGCTTGTTATTACACAGTGAGTTTTTTGCAAGAAATTATCTTTTTAGATTAAAATCTTGTGCTTGGGATTTTATTTTTTTTCCATGTAAGAGGAGTAGTGAGAGTTACTATCTCTAAGTGGCAGATAGTAGTAATCCTCTGTTTGGAAAAATACAGGTAATTACCTGAGTGGCTTGTTTCAGCGTGTGTGTGCATCCACGTAACATTTACCTGTATAGATTTGTTCCAGGAATGTCTTAGAATACTTTTATCAAATAAGAGCAGATTTTAATTTGTGTTTTTGAAACAACAGGTTGTTTCAATAGTTCAGTTAATCTTAGGTCATTAGTTTTCCAAGAACTATCCCAACACTAATGTTGGGAGCACAAAACATGTATGAAAATCACTGTTACAGATTTTTTACTTTTGGGTACTTGCCTATTTTATATTTACTGACATATTTTTGAACTGTTTGTTTTGAATGAGACAGATTTTTTACTTTTGGGTACTTGCCTATATATATTTACTGACATATTTTTGAACTGTTCATTTTGAATGAACTTTAAATTCTCTTTGCATATGTCTGTATATGCATATGTATATTATGGCTAATATTAAGTATATTTTATTTCTCATTTATCTTTCTTAATTTCTTTTAACTCTGGGATGCAATACTACACTTGTATTCAAGCAAAACCTCTTACCTGTAGGTGGGATAGTGACATTTTCAATAGTGTGTTTAGTTATGTATATTTCAACTTAGCAAAAATTTTTTAAAATAATTTAAAAAGATCCTCTATTGTAAATCATTCGATATGGACAGGATTTTTGATGTTTTTGAAAGAATTTGCCAAAACTAACAGGTGGGTAAATTTTTTAGTGTCTGGATAAGGTGTCACTTCTGCACGAGCTAATTTATTACTACCTCAAGACATTAGCTTGCACGGCTTTGTCATCTATTCTATTACTTTATCTAATAAATTATGGAAGGTTGAAGTTGAAATCTTTGTGAGTTGCCAGCGCTTCTTTCTATGAATTAACATAAGTTTTTTGGTTTTTTTTTTCCACTGTAGGAAAGCAGAACATAAGCCTGTATGGAAAACTGAACATACGCTGAAATGCTTTGCTTTTTTAGGTCTTGGTTGTTTGCTTACTACTCCTTTTTCTTTTCTTTTTTTCTTTGAATGCTGTCGGTGTACTGAATGATCCCAAAACTGCACGTTTTCCCCTCCAAATGGGTGCTGTTCAAAACAAGGTGCAGAGAAGTTGGGGAGGGGGAGGCTACCTGAGACCCCCATAATTTGAGAACTCCTGACGTGTTGGCTTCATTGTTCTTTCTGGTCCATATGGTAGGATGGAAAATGTGTTCAATATATGGTATTTAAGGAAGTCAAATAGAAAAAAATAATATCTAAAGGTACTTGTTACTTCCTCAGTGTTTGCTAAACAAAGCAGCAAAGCTGTCATTCATCATTTTAAGATTAATTGCGAGTCGATGCGGTAATAATTTTGTTTCTGCACAGCGCTTTAAATCATTGGAGCAATTAAAGCAGGGCTGAATTTGGACAACAGATTTATATTAGTACCTTATTAAAATTAGTTTTAATTAATCATGAGAAATTAATATATGTTCGGGCCATTATCTACATTTTTTGCTATCTAAAAATAATGCTAGCATATAGTTCATACCATGAATTTTAGTCTAATCAGAAATAACCTCTGGATTTTTTAAGAATATGTGGGATTCTGCTTTGCTTAGTAATTTTGGAGAAGAAAACGTTTGGAAACAGTTCTACAAAGAAATTGGTTTTGTTGTGGGGCAAGGAAAGAAGGAAAGGGAATGTATCACGAGGCAGTTGGAAATCTTTGGTATTAAAAAAAAGCCCAACACGAGCACAGTAACAACGATGCACTGAGCATCTATTACTGTGGGTTTGGTTGTCAGACTGATGTAAACTGTATTTGTGGCATTTGAGAACGCAGAGTGGTTTCAGATTGATATAAAAATTAGGGCATGAGAAAGCAAACATTTTAAAAGGGGAGAGGAGAAATTAAGAAAAATATTTCCTATGTGTTGACTCTGTAATTGTATTTCCACAGCATGTGGAGTATTCCAATTGCAAGGACATAATCAGCAGCCCTTCGGAGTTCTAATGTCAAAGCAAATATTTACAAATTTTAATTCCTTTTCTTTTTTTTTTTTGTTTTTTCCTTTAAGGACCACCACACCAGGGGAGACTAAACTTTTAGCTTCTGAAGTCTATGATATCCTTCAGTCTTCCAACATGTCAGACATGGACAATGTGAATGAGATGAATTATCGGCGGCGGAAAGCTCAGTTTTTCCTTGGCAGCACAAATAAGCGCGCCAAGACGGTGGTGCTGCATATAGATGGCCTCGATGATTCGGTAAGGAAACCTGCAGCATTTTTGTGAATAAGGGATGCTGTACTGAGAGGTATTTTGCCCACAAAAATACTGTATTCAGGCTACTTGTGTGGCGTCATCGTTTGTTGGCAATTTCTGTGAATCCGATTTTGAATCGCAAGATACGTATAAAATCTGGCATAAATTGAGCTTACTCAGAATATCTAAAGAAGATGTTTTAAGGTAGTTTCTTTGATAGTATTCTAATTACTCTAAAAAAAACAAAACTATTGTGTTTCCACCTCTCCAAATTTTCTTTCCTTTTTCAAGAAAGGTGCATTCAGCAGTTTCACTTAAGGCTATCTGGTGGTTTGTATCGGTATGTTAAACTAAAAGAAAACACGTTTCCTTTTAGTTAGGAGAGATTTCAGACACTGTTTTGTTGTTTGTTTTGGGGTTTTTTTGTTGTTGTGTTTTTTTTTTTTTTTAATTACTCTTAATTTAGAAACTCTGTCTTTTCTTTGAGCTGCTTTTTTGCTACATCTTTTCATTGTCTGCGAGATCTTTTTCTACTGGGGTGACCAGAATGGCATTTTGAGTTAATGAGGTCTCACTGAGTCTTTATGTAATGTCAGAATAACTTCTACGGATTTATCTACCATACCCCTGTAGATAACACCCCAGGGCCATGTTTGCCTTTTTACGGCTGCCAAACAGCATGTAGACTGTTTAAGCAACGTTATCCACAAGTGCCCTCCGGACTCTGTATCTTCAGTTTTGTACCCGTTTTAAATGATCAAACCTGATCCTTTGCCTTTGTTGCTTTACGTTTTGCCAAGTAAGTGTGTCCACGGGCCCGGTTTATCAACAGCACACCCGTCCTACTGCTTTCCTAAGACCCTGGTTAATTCCTTTAGAAATAACATGCTGCTCTAGCTCACTTTGTACAAAGTAAATATTTTTTACAGTTCTGTCCTTCCAGCACTTGCTCTGGCTGGAAAGGCAGCGCTTTGTCAACACCATTGGCTTTTGTGCTCTGAAGTTTTTTTCTAATTCAGTCCTATTGCTTGTCTCCACTTAAGTTTGGGTTGTTTTGCTTTGGTTTTAAGCTTGTAGTTGATTTGTTTGTTCACAGGTGTCTCCAAGCAAGAAATCTAAGCCACTTCTACTTCGTGAGTTTAGGTATTTTGGATAGATTCTATCTTAAAAGTGTTTTCTTTGTGTTCTTCAGAACTTTAGGGAGATTTGTGGAGTTTCTCTCTTAAATTCTGAGGCAAAGGTGTTCTCAAAGTATAGGATATTTAGATATTCAGCTCCAGAGAGCAGAACCACAGGCTCCTGTAGTTGCCTAGAACATGCCAGTGTGTTTTCTTAGCTTGTTGTTGAAGAAAAGAAAAATCTGACTCTGTGCTGGCTGGAGATGGGCTCATGTCCTCGTGTCCGTAGCTCCTTGTTTCACCAGGTGATTAAAGAAATGTCAGTGATACTCCAGGTGCCCACCCAGCACCTAAACCTCCTTATAATGTTCTTTTTAAATGTCAGGATAAGCTGGGACTGGGAGAACGACGAAGGATGTGAACAACAAAAGTAGCTTAGTTTCATTCAACAGTTTATTCCCAACTTAACTAGCAAAGAATGGTGGCACGTAGGAGTGATAAAAGACATAATAAGTAAAGCCAGGGCTGTGTTCTCAGTTCACCTGTGTTTTAGCATCTAAATCTAAAATGTGAAACAAGAAGCTGCTGTTAGGAATGATTGCAAATCCTACAAACGCTTGTGGATTTTGAAACCTCAAATAGTAGATATTGATTAATTCAGGAAGGGAGGGGGTAAAGGTTAGTTGTTCAGTGTGGGGTCAGTTGTTTTTATTTTAAAATCTAATTTTCTGATGACTGAAAGCTTCGTATTAAACAGAGGTGCCTGTGGCTTAACCTGGGATCTCAGAGTAAAAAGTCAAATTCTGTCACAGAATTGCTAAACTTAGACAAGTGAACTGTTTCAATATATATGGTAAACTGCTAAAAAAATCCCCAAACCTGCTATGTTTAGTTCTTCCAGATATTAAAAGAATTTAATTTGCTTGTTGTGCATGAAACTATCCCAAGTACTGACCAGTTATTATTTAATGACTAATATATGCTCTGAGATATATGATTTCTGAGCATAAATTATTTATTTAGGCTAATAAGCTGCAAATGTGTTGCTTCTTGTGTCCAAAGATAGTTTTGACTTTCAGTCATGCACTCACTATCATCTTTGCATCAAATATTACCTGTTTATGAGAAATGTAGCCAATCCAGCAATGTTCTTTTTTGAACTGTCAAAAATGTTAATTATTCAATACATAAACTTAGACAAGTGAACTGTTTCAATATATATGGTAAACTGCTAAAAAAATCCCCAAACCTGCTATGTTTAGTTCTTCCAGATATTAAAAGAATTTAATTTGCTTGTTGTGCATTAAACTATCCCAAGTACTGACCAGTAATTATTTAATGACTAATATAAATATGCGTTGAAATAGCTTTGAAAAAACTTGCAGAAACTTGCAGTAAAAGATAAATCACTTCATTATTTTGAACCGACTAATATAAATATGCGTTGAAATAGCTTTTTATTTCAAACCTTGCAGAAACTTGCAGTAAAAGATAAATTACTTCATTATTTTGAAGATGTGTAAGGTTGTCAGTTTATTTCTGGTAGAGCATTACATTTTCTTTTTTCCCCTTCTCTACGAGCAGTATTTTAATCCTTTGTGTTATAACCATCTTGTGCCAATATTAAAAGGGGGAAAAAAAAACCCCACCAAAGAACATTATTCTAAGATAATGTAGAGCAGATGTAACCGGTACAGGTCGATGTAATGTTACAGCACAGTAGGCGATGTCACTTGCTTTAAACACAACATTCTGTGTGTTATCAACCAAATATTGTCCCTTTGAAATCAGAATTAAGCTTACGCTGCGCGGCGATGTCCGTGAGCTGCCGCAGATGAAGGGGCTGAAAGATCCAGCAGCTGCTCTGATGCGTTCAGTCAGGATGGAGGCAAGGTGTCTGATAAATAGCAACTTAAACACTAACTACTCATCAATGAGCACTTCAGTCAGTCAGAGCTTAACCAGAGGGGACTGTTTAGCTGATCATACGGAGAAAAAAACAGTCTTTGCTTTTCAGCATTTTTTCTCTAATTATTTACAGTTGATTCCATCCTTCTTTGACTTCTAAAGTGTAAGCGATTTTTTTTCTTTTCTTTTTTTTTTTTGCTTTTACTTTATAGCAAGTCTATATAGACTCTGTAGAGAGTCTAATATATGTGCACTAAAATGTAAGTCTTAGTTTTTCTTTTACAAAAATGCTGCCTGCCCTCAGACATGCAGGAATTTCCTACCAATAAATAGTCAGCATTTATTGGTAGGGCACACACAGCCCTCTCCAAGTCCTTCAGTTGCCGGTGTTTTCTTTTTGTTTGTTTTTTAGTCTCGGAGGAATCTTTGTGAAGAAGCCTTGTTGAAAATTAAAGGTGTTATTAGTTTTACCTTTCAAATGGCCGTTCAAAGGTGTGTGGTCCGAATTCGCTCAGACTTAAAAGCAGAGGTAAGTGCTCCATAACCCTCCAGATCCTCACCTTATTGCCTTCTGTCACACTAAGCTCTTGCTTTTTCCTCTGTCCCTGTAGGCGTTGGCGACGGCGATAGCATCAACCAAAGTTATGAAGGCACAGCAAGTTGTGAAAAGTGAAAGTGGTGAGGAGGTAGGATATGCATCTTTCTAAACATCAATTGTTTTAGCTCGGCTGTGTCTTTAATACCAGCACCTCTGTGACCATAATCACAGAATCTTCTAGGTTGGAAGGGACCTCAAAGATCATCTTGTCCAACCATCAACCTAACTGACAAAAATAGACACCCACACAACAAACAATATCTGCTGTCAGGAGAAAATGGGTAATTGGGAGTGCTACAATGAGAATAAAGGATATCCTGTGGCAGGACAGGTAGCCATAGAACAGTTTTACAGAACTTTTATGTTCAGAAGAAGGATGAAAATACTGTAATTGTTTCCTTAATGAGATGAAAAGGACCACAGTTAACTTTTTTTTTTGGCTGCAGTGTTTTTTTGGCTGAAGTGTTTTTATTTCACAATTACAGTATGTGTAATTGTGCTATGTCTTTATTTGATATTTTTCCTTCCATGGTAAGCCAAAGCTTTTCTTGTGTATCTTCTAAGCATAGTAGATTCCAGTTCTACAGTACGTTCCATTTATATTACAGTCTGGGGGATGAGGGACTAGAAAGCAGCCCTGAGGAAAGGGATTTGAGGGTGCTGGTGGATGAGAAGCTGGACATGAGCAGGCAGTGGGCACTTGCAGCCCAGAAGGCCAATCACATCCTGGGCTGCATCAAAAGATGCGTTGCCAGCAGGTCCAGAGAGGTGATTCTGCCACTTTACTCTGCTCTGGTGAGACCTCACCTGGAGTATTGTGTGCAGGTCTGGAGCCCTCAATAGAGGAAGGACATGGACCTGATGGAGCAGGTCCAGAGGAGGGCCACAAGGATGATCAGGGGGATGGAGCACCTCTGCTACGAGGACAGGCTGAGGGAGCTGGGGTTGTTCAGCCTGGAGAAGAGGAGGCTCCAGGGACACCTAATAGCAGCCTTCCAGTACCTGAAGGGAGCCTACAGGAAGGCTGAGGAGAACCTGTTTAGAAAGGCCTGCAGACAGGACAAGGGGCAATGGCTTCAAGCTGGAGGGGAGGAGATTTGGGTTGGAGATTAGGAGAAAATTCTTTACTGTGAGGGTGGTGGAGCACTGGAACAGGTTGCCCAGGGAGGTGGTTGAGGCCCCTTCCCTGGAGATATTCAAGGTGAGGCTCAACGAGGCCCTGGGCAACCTGGTCTAGTTGGGGGTGTCCCTGCTGACTGCGGGGAGGTCGGACTAGATGGCCTTTGGAGGTCCCTTCCGGCCTGGGCAATTCTATGATTCTATTCTCACTGTAAAGGGGGCCCCCTCTCTTCTATGATTCTATTCTCACTGTAAAGGGGGATGGGGAGGAGTCTCACAAGGGCCACGAAGATGCTCCGAGGGCTGGAGCCCCTCTGCTGTGAGGACAGGCTGAGAGAGTTGGGGTTGTTCAGCCTGGAGAAGAGAAGGCTCTGGGGAGACCTTAGAGCCCCTTCCAGTCCCTAAAGGGACCACATGAGAGATGGGGAGGGACTCTTTATGAAGGAGTGGAGCCATAGGATGAGGGAGAATGGCTTTAAACTGAAAGAGGGGGGATTGAGATGAGGTCTCAGGGAGAAATTCTTTGCTGTGAGGGTGGTGAGACACTGGAACAGGTTGCCCAGAGAGGTGGTGGAGGCCCCATCCTGGAAACATTTAAGGCCAGGCTGGATGGGACTTTGAGCAACCTGATCTATTTAAAGATGCCCCTGCTTGTTGCAAGGGGGTTGGACTAGGTGACCTTCAGAGAAACCTGGTCTATTTAAAGATGTCCCTGCTTGGGGGACTTGGACTAGGTGGGGGTTAGACTAGGGGGTTGGACTAGGTGACCTTCAGAGGTCCCTTCCAACACATTCCATGATTTTATGAACATCAATTCCTATCATCATGTGTATCTATGTGTAACTTTCATGCACTCTTTTAAGTTAGAACATCTGACATAGTTTTGATCCGTTGTGTTTTATCAGATGCTGGTTCCGTTCCAAGATACTCCAGTGGAAGTAGAGCAGAACACAGATCTACCTGAATATTTACCAGAAGATGAAAGCCCTAGTAAGGAACAGGACAAAGCAGTGTCTCGTGTTGGGTCCCACCCAGAAGGTGCGGGGAGCTGGCTCAGCACGGCAGCAAACTTTCTATCGAGGTCTTTCTACTGGTGACTTGGTATTTGGTGTTAAAAGACTGTGTGAGTGAACCACCAGGGGGGCCAGTTTTCCATTGGTGTGGTGAACTGCCAAGTGCAATTTGCAATAAATCATCACGAAAAAATTTTAGATTAAGCAAATGTATGCTGCATTTTACATTTTATTGGACGTTTAGCCTGACAGGGCAGGGGTCAAAGGACAGAGGCCTCCAATCAAATTGTTCTTTTTCTTTTTCATGTAGATTTTATTGCTTCACTTTTTAAAAATGGGTCCACTGTTATATACCAAATGTTTATGTGTATAGAGCTTTAAGTTTAACTTCACATGAAACACACGGTAGGGAGAATCCATCTAACTCAAGTCTCAGGGCCTCTGTGAAAGAAAATTCTTAATAGCTCTAGTTGTGCATTAAAAAAAAAAAATGCCCTTTTTATTTCTGCATCCCTTTGGGCTGATGTTATTTTGTTTATAATTTTCTAGATTCTGAGTCCAGAGAAAAATATAGTCTGCCTCTTTTTTTTTTTGCCTTTATTTTTGCCAACCATGTTCAGTGTGACCGTGACGTTCCCCTTTTGCTATTAAACTAGAATCACTACAGACTTGAAATTTGCAACCCTTTTTCTGTATATTGACTTTTTTTTGCAGCCTGCCCTTAACCATTGGAGTGCTTGAGATTAAGAAATAAGGGATTGAATAAACACGGATATGTATACATACATTGTACAGTAAATAAACTAGAACATATTTATAATGATGGGTGTGACTGACTGATGTATATAACTAATAAATACCACTGACTGCTCTTTAGCTCAGAAGACTGTAGCAAAAAAAAATAAAAAGCTGTGGTCTAAGGTAGTGATGACCCATTGCAGCTCTGTCTGCAGAGAGTAGGGGGATGTAGACTGTATTTGGTTAAGAAATGGTGTTCACTGTTAGCAAATATTTAATGGTAACTAGAAACTTCGTAAACTTGAAGAATAAAGCAGAACTGAATGCCTCTTTTGCCACGGTGCCACACTCATAAATTTTGGCTTTAACCCTTTTTGTCTTTTTAACCTAACAGATCTGATTGGTAATTATTCTTCCCTCCTAAGGTCTTTCAGGAGACTCCCGTGAAAGCACATCAGCTTGGATAGGCTTAAAAACATATGCAAACGATTGGCTTTACCTTGTTAGTTACAGACAGTATAGGTTTAAAGATGTCTTGGTGATTTCCGTGACCAAGAAGTGATAATAAAAGCAAAACTTCCGTATGTAGAGAATAATATATACCTGAGCTGTTAGTAAACACTGTGTGCCTGAGAGGATTCAATACACAGTGCTTGAAAACTGCAGTGCCACTGCTTTGTTGCACCAGAGAACCGTGGCTGAGAACTTTAAATAAATGTTATAAACCTCATTATACGATGCTTTTTTTATGGTAATGTATTTGCTATAATATTAATTACATTTACCACTTGGAGACTCAGAAAAAAAAAAAGAATAAAATCAATGCATCAAAGTTATTCCCCTGTGCCTATGCACAAGGAATAAAATAAAAAGTATCACAGGCTCATAATGCTACAGAAATGCTAAGGAAATGATAATGTAAAATAATAACGCAGGTCAGAGTTCACCCACCCAAGTTAATTATAATTCTAGGATTAAAAAAAAAAGAAACAAAAGCTTGTTGGCAGACTCGGTGTCTCATGTTTTTTAATGTATCTAGTTTCTTTTCGATTCAGGTTTACACGCACAGATTGAAAATACAGGCTTTTCGGGGCATGTATTGCTTTAACTATTGTAATATTACTCATATTGCTGTCTAGAATGTTACAGTACCAAACGTGTTTGAGAAAGTCCTCTGTTCTATAGCCATGGATGCAGAGTTTTTTCTTTTTCTGCATTAACATCTGTTTGCGTTTTTTGCGTTGCTGCACATGGATTTACTAAAAGCCTACACCCTGTGGATGTTAATGGTTCGATACCAGTAGGTATTGCAGTCTGTTCGTGCATTCGGTCCGTAGGTGTGCTTCTCTGACAGTATTGCAGCTCTTGTAGAACAGTTTAAGGCATCTGTACAAGTTTTTGAAATATATTGTAAAATAATAAAGGATAATATAACTAAACGCAGTACGACTGGTGCCTTTTGAAGTGTTCTGATGTTCTTTCAAGCTGTATTACAAATACGTCCCCTTCATCTTTAATTTAACAGAGATGAGTGCAAATGTCCAGTCGTGGTGAGACCTTTGCTGCATGTCACAACAGGTGTTTTGTGTGTGTGTTTAAAGACTACTTGCATTTGAAACAAAGTTTTTGTAGAGGAAGTAGGTAAGTAGAAGCTACTTAAGGGCACCATCTCAAATTCATTCCTAGGGTTGTGGGTTTTTTTAGGACATTAGCTTTTTTTTTTTTTATTACTAGTCATAGAATGGTTTGGGTTGGAAGGGACCTTAAAGATCATCCAGTTCCAACCCCCTGCCCTGGGCAGGGACACCTCCCGCCAGACCAGGTTGCTCCAAGCCCCATCCAGCCTGGCCTTGAACCCCTCCAGGGATGGGGCAGCCACAGCTTCTCTGGGCAACCTCTTCCAGTGTCTCACCACCCTCACAGCAAAGAATTTCTTCCTGAGATCTCATCTCAATCTCCCCTCTTTCAGTTTAAAACCCTTCCCCCTCATCCTATGGCTCCCCTCCCTGATCCAGAGTCCCTCCCCATCTCTCCTGGAGCCCCTTTAGGGACTGGAAGGGGCTCTAAGGTCTCCCTGGAGCCTTCTCTTGGCCAAGCTGAACATCCCCAACTCTCTCAGCCTGTCCTCACAGCAGAGGGGCTCTAGCCCTCTGAGCATCTTTGTGGCCTCCTCTGGACCTACTTCAACAGCTCCATGTCCTTCATGTGCTGAAGTTCTCCAGGAACAGGGATGGGACAAGCCACTGGTGCAGGGAATTGCCCTCTTGGCTTCTCCATGGGAACTGCCCCTCTGGATGTTTGTTGAGGAAAGGGAAGGGTGAGCTCTAGCAGGGAGCAGTGGGGCCGATGCTCTGCTCACCCCTCACAGACACATGGACAGCCAGAATACAATGTCTTTACAAAGGTGTTTTTCTACTCACCTCATTTTACGGACTGCTCAACTGAGCCTACCCACCCAAAATCTCTCGGGGATCCTGGGAAGCACAAAATTTTGTTCGTGCTTCGTTACAAAACTAGGTTGAAGTGCCCACCGTGTCAACGAGAGTCCTCTACACTGGCTGAACTCCTCTGGCCTGGAGCAATGAAGCCGAACGTGCTGCAAACAACTTTCCTTCCCGGGTTATACATAGAATTCCATCCTGATCCAGGTATGACTGAACGCCATTTTTCTCCTCAAAATAGTCCTTGCAGATTTGTTGTAAGTTCTAGATAAAGGAAGAGCTCTTAGTAACAAATACCCTTTCTAGTTGGTTTCCTCCCCAAAAAAATCTTTAGCTATCTTTGCACGTTATGGTATATTTCAAAAGCTTTGTTGATTTATTTCATCGGTGCAGCATCCAACACACACCTGAGGCATTTGCTGTCTTCGTATATGCTAAAGCATCACCCAACTTTATATCACAGAATCACAAAATGATCTGGGGTTGGAAGGGGCCTCTGGAGATCATCTAGTCCAACCCCCTGCCAGAGCAGGTCCACCCAGAGCAGGTCCCACAGGAACGTGTCCAGGTGGGTTTGAATGTCTCCAGAGAAGGAGACTCCACCCCCTCTCTGGGCAGCCTCTGCCAGGGCTCTGTCACCCTCACAGGAAAGAAGTTCCTCCTCATGTTGAGGTGGAACTTTCTATGTTCAAGTTTGTGCCCATTTCCTCTTGTCCTATCCCTGGGCACCACTGAAAAAAGACTGGCCCCAATGTGTAGTATTTTGTTTTAGTTACTTTCCAAGAGCAGGTTTTGGTCAAACCTCCCTTCTCCCCCTGAATTTCAGGTTGGAAATGGTGGCACAGGAAGATGTCCCGTTGTGGTGTGACCTTTTGGCCATGCTCCCTTCACTGCGGGATGATCCAGTGTGTGTTGGTTCGTATTAAACTTTGAAGGGCAGGTAGAAGGTCCAGTGTGGTGACTCCTCCTTTTTGGGAAGGGGGAGAGGGAGGGAGGGAAGGGAAGCTGGAAGCCGGTTTCCACTTGCAAGGGGCTGATCCTCCCGGACAGAGGAACAGCACTAATTTAACATTCCATGAGAATTTAATTTGTATTATGGTAATATTAAATTTTTTTCAGAATAAAGACTTCAACTACTGTAATAGATTTTTGATTACAAAGCCCTATATGGTTAGCAGGGAAGTCCCACGTTTGTTATTGACAAAGCCATTCTTGTTCATTATCTTGGTATAAAACTAAAAGCTTATATGTTGTCCTTGGTTTTACCTCCTTTGCTACCACAAATAGGCGCCGTAATATTTTAGCAAATAACCGTTATTGTTTATACACTGTAATGCAGTGGGATGGAGCAAATGGCATATTTTAAGGAGTCTATTTCTTTGCATATAAAATACCTGTAAAGCTTACTGAAGGTGAAGAGTGGCTACTACTTAGCTCTCAATTGTTGGCTGCATTGCTGAAACAATGAAGATATATCACCCACTATAATGGGGAAATAGCAGCCATTTAACATAGTTGAGCATTAACTCTGTCATTTAGGCCGCTGAAGCAATCTTATTATTATAGTCAATGTAGCTGGTTTTGTTTCTCCATATGTGTAGACGTTCTGGTGTATAAAATCCATTGCTGTTTGCAACAGTAAATTACGTGTGCTTGAAGGCTACTCTTGCTATTTAAATGAAGTTATACCCAGAGCCTTCAACAGAAGAAGGAAAGATAAAGTAAGTAACGGCTGGTTTTGAAATATTTTTCACTGTGGTTGTTTCAACACCGAAACTGCTCTATGCCATCCTGCAAAATTTTGTTCTAAGGAAAAAAAATAATAGTGCATTGACTGTGAAAACAGCTTCTTGAAACGTGACTTTGCAGTGCTTATTACCGAAGAGGTGCACGTTGTCCATTTCAAAGCCAGGTCTCACAGGTAATTAGTGACAGAACGAGAAGGAATGGCTTCAAGCTCCAACAGGGTAGGTTTAGACTGGGTATTAGGAAAGAATTTTTCACAGAAAGGGTGGTCGGGCATTGGAACAGGCTGCCTGGGGAGGTGGTTGAGTCACCATCCCTGGATGTGTTTAAGAGCCGTTTAGATGTGGTGTTGGGGGATATGGTATAGGGGAGAACTTCGAGTCCAACCATCTACCCTACTCTACAATGATCCCAAGGGTGTCTTCCAACCTAGACAATTCTATGATTCTGTAAATGAAAGCTGGTGATGGCTGGTC